GTGGTGTCATATTTTAGGCTTGCACTGTATAATAGTAATTTACGTAAAAAGTTGCGAAAGTGATATTTTACGGGATAAGTACAAAGTGTTGGATTTTTGTTGTTGGAGTGTTACGTACACTATTTTTTGTGGAGGCGTTTATCATAACGGCAATATTTAAATCAGCATTATTAGCCGTATCAATATTTGCTAGTTTTCGAAATATTAATTTAATTAATTAATTGAATTCATACTTCTCCCTTCACTTTAGCTGCGCTACAATAATTCATAAGTAGTTGTTTGAGCAGCTTCAATAATCGCATGTGAAATCAATTTGGCTTCACTTCCACTGCTGATTTCCATTTTTTAAATGGAAAAGCGAAAACTCTTTCGAATCTTAAATTACAAGCGGTATCATAAAAAAAATATGAGTTGATATTATTCTTAAGGTCACCTACGTTAATACTCCAAATCATTCCAAAAGTAAAAAAAATCGTTTCAAACTTCAAACGTGAAAAAAATCATTCTGAAATTAGTTGCTTTTTGGAAGATTTTTGTACAGTGAAACTTTCGATATAATAAAAATCATTTAAAAAGTTCAGATTTCGGGACGGTTGCAGACTTTTTTTTTAATTTTGAATTATGAATTTATTTAATTGTGAATAAGGTGTAAATGTTTGGCATTTACCGACAGTTTTTTATGTCTCGCTACATACTTACCTCTTAAAATTTACCATGTCTGACGGATTGTTTAAGCAATATCACGAGGTTTCCGCTATATTTTGTTTTGCTGCATTTATTTACAATTCCCCCCGATTCTAAGTTTTTTTTTCTAATTTAGTATCTAATAAAAAAAATTACTACCTCTAACGCATAAAAGAATTCTAACGATTCATTGGCTCCAAATTATAGGATCTGTGGAATAGATAAACAACAGAAATATAGATCTTTTTCCAAATCATTAAACTACGTTTTCGTTGTTTGCCGACGTTGAAAGACGCTCGAGAATAGAATCCATTCTTCATTTTCCCCTTATCTCTTATTTTTATAATAGTTTCCATCTAGATATCGAAACTATAATTTCCTAAAGTAGTCGGTGGCGTCAGCCAAGCTATTATTTCTAAAAATAAGATAAAAAAAATTCGAACTTTGTTTCAGGAAGCTAGTCTCTGTTCGAGATTGATTGATTGAACTGTGGAATGAACATTATAAAAAAAATATTTTAGAATCTATGGTTGAGGAAAATATCAAGCAAATATTTTTTTACAATAATTTGTTATTTTAATCTGTTATTTATTTGTATTTTTTTATTTTTGATATATGGCAATTGACAGAGAGTACAGAAATGTACAAGATAACATCGCAGATTAAATTAGAACAATTATTTTGACTGAGACATATCCTCAGATGAAGTGAATCAAATCTGTAAATATTATGAAAATGGTAGGTATCCCAATGGCGTAATGATGAAATAAACTATGGAGGTGAACCAGTTAGTAGAGCATCTAACAAGACAATACGAGATTCATGGAAAAATATCATTTAGCGTCTTTGTACACGAAAGGGAAAATAAGAGACCGTAAGAATTACAGAGAATAGTCGGTTAACAGTACTCTTATTGCCACCTACTGTTTTGCAAGATAATGAAAAAATATATTTAAAATGTGACACAAAAGATAAATGAAGATAAAAGTGGTTTCAGAGCTGGCAGGTTTTGTGTTGATTTGGAAGCAAGGAACTTGATATCTGAGGAATGTGGTCGCTTATTATCTGTTTAAGAGGAAGATTGTGGTGGAAAATGGTGTGATGGTGAATGTAACGGCTGGAGTCCCGTAGTGCTCCGTCCTGGGTACGCAGCTGTGGAACCTGGCATATGACGGGGTCTTAAACTGCGAATATGGGAAGGGTGTTACCCCCTTCGCATTCGCGGACGACATTGCTATGCTGCTGGCGGCACGGGACACAAAGGAACTCTTGCTTCGGATTACGCGTGCATGTGTCCTCGTTAAAGATTGGATGATCGAGTGCCTTTACTGTGGTCTCTCGAATACTGTGACATACAAGATTTTGGAGTGTGAGCGTTGGGCGGATGAAAAAGAGAAGTTTGTAAGAGAGTGTAACTGCAGAATATTTGATTCTGTGAGAGAAATGGTGGAGAAAATGATGAGGGATAAGTGGTGGTGGACACGGTTCCAAAAATTTATCAGGGAGCTGCTCTCTTCAAAAGAACGAGAGGAGAGCAGCTCCCTGAGTTGCTCTCCTCTCTGACTTGAATAGCAGCTCAGTGGGGTTCGAACTGTCGCAGGCCGAAATAGGAGTGAATGAGAGACAGACGATGCGAGAGAGATGGCAGCCTCACTAAGGTAGATGGATGAAAGTTTTTGGTGGTTCGTGTGGGCGTGGTTTCTTCGATGAATGTGTCGGAGAAAGAATGGGAATCGGGTGATAGCAGTGCTCAAGGAGAGATGTTTGCCTTAACCGGCCCTTCCATCCTGGTGTTTAGTGTGACAGAGGAGACGTCTTGGAGCGGTCACGGGATGAGGTGTCAAAAGTCTAAATCCCTCGGGCATCTTGCCCTGGCACAACTTCGTTAGGGTATTAGGAACCCAACATTACCAGTGTGAGTTACAGGTGTCTGTATGCAGATTTTCCTTCTTCTCTTTAAAGTTGCAAAAAAGATTTTGTGGTAATAATCTCTATTACACAACACGAGGGAGAAAAGCAAAATTTCTGCTTTTTCTTTTTACTACTTTACAAATAGGCTTACTTCCTGTTTTACTTCGATTTTTAGCCTCAATTGACGTTGTCTGACCATCTTTTCCTCGGTCGTCCCAATGATCTTCTTCCATTTGGCGATTTGTCTCTTGCTATTTATACTATTCTATTTTCTGATTGATTGATTGGTTGATTCCATTGCACTTTTCTTCTTTTGGTCCACGCGTTTATTTCCTCTATACCACATCTCGCTCGTATTTTCTCACTTCTTACTCTGTCTCTTAGAGTTTGGTTTGTTATTTTTCGTAAGACTTTCATTTCTGTTGCTACCAGGAGTTTTTGTGTTTTCGCCGTATCTGCTCTTGTTTCCGCTGTACACGTCATTATCGGTCTTCTTCGTCTAGCCATTCACGTCCACATCTGAACATAAGCCTCTTCAAGTCTTCCTTTCCATTGGTTTTTATTGTTGGTCTTTTTCATTATCGGTCTTATTGATTTATATATCCTGGTTTTCGTTTCCGTTGGGAGGTATTTGTTTCTCCAGATTGTGGTGTTGAGACATTATGCTGCTCTGTTTGCCATGTTCACTTGTTTTTGTACTTCTTCTTCCACTTTTCTGTAACTTGACAGTTTTATTCCCAAGTATTCAGTTTCCATCACTTTTTTTCTATTATTTTGTTATTTATGACTAGTTTACATCGTCTCGATTCCGCTGATATCACTATCGCTTTAGTTTTCTCCGTTGAGATCATCATGTTGTATATGAGCGCTGTATCTTCCAATTCTTTAATTATTCTTTGTAGGTCATCTTCATTTTCAGTTGGTATTATGGCGTCGTCGGCGTAGGATATTATCATTATTTCCTTTTCTCCCATTCTATATCCTCTTATTTTTTAACTTTCGTTATGATTTCATCCATTATCAGATTAAATATTAATGGGCTCAGCGAATCTCCTTGTCTAATGCCAGTTTCATATTTGATAGGTTGCGATAGTTTTCCTTTACATCTTACCATAGCTATGTTATCTTTATATATATTCTCAATGGTTTTTACTAAATCCAGTGATATTCCCTGTTCATATAATAGATGTATCGAGTCCCGAATTCTCACTTTATCAAACGCTTTCTTCAGATCTATCAGACACATATATATGCTGGTTTGTTGTATTCCAGCGACTTTTCTTTTATTTGTCTTATTACAAAAACTGCATCTGTGCATGACCTTCCTGTCCGAAATCCTTGCTGTTCCTCTTGCAGAGATATTCGTTCGTTTATTTTTGTCGCTATTATTCTTGTTGTCAATTTGAGTGTTGCATTTAAAAGATTTATTGCTCGATAATTATTGGGGTCTTTCTTATCTCCTTTTTTTGAAGAACATCACCATGATTGCTCTCCTCCATTCATCTGATATTCTGTTCGTGGTGATTATTTTATTAATAAGAAGTTGCAGTTGTTGTACATGGCAATCACCTCCATATTTTTAAGAGTTCATTCGATATTTGATCTTCTCCTGGTGACTTTCTGTTTTTTAATTTGTTTATTTCTTCTTTCACATCGTTTTGGGAGATTTCGGTATTTTCCTCAGTTAATATATTTGGCGTTTCTAGTAAAGGTTATTCGTTTTGTTTTTTAATCATTTCTGTCAGGAAGGCCACCCACGTATCCTCTTGTATGTGTTCTATTTCAACTAGTGCATTTAGTGCTATTACAAAGGCGAAATTTGATAGAATAAATAAACATTAGCTTAATAGATTCTAAGATTTATAGACTTTTAAGCCGTAAAATAACGTACCAAAATCAAATTTACAAGAATTTGAAAGTTAAGCAGACGATAGTCAGTATTATAAAAGAAATATATTACAACAACAAAGCATATACTCGTGTTAAATATAAATATGTTATCAGTGGTAATACTTTCAACCAAAGGATTAAGATAAGGATCCAGTATATTTTATCTACTACTTAACCCTTATTTAGAAATAGGCTATAAATTATGTTTCTGGATGTTTAAAACTCATTCCATTTTGCAATACATTCCTTATAAAAAAAATTTAAACTAGTACACTTTTTTAGAGCCAACACAAAATGTTCCAGAAAATATTAGAAATAAACTGTACCAGAATTTTAAAAATTTATTTTAAATCTCACTTGCCTAACAGTTATAAAATTTCCTTTATCATGATTTGCTGTTTCTAAAAATACTATCACTTTTCAATTAGTTTTCCCCAATATAGTTCTAATTATCTCAACAATAAACCTAGAAAATTTCCAATCATCAATGTCATTCGTGTTTTTGTTGATTTCAGGTCGCCCTCAGTGATCGATTAGGAGATTCTCGAAGAAAACGAAATGGCAGATTACAACGAACTCCCGTTCACTCGGATTCAAGTAAGCCGCATTTCAACCACACATTTAAATTTCCGATGGCAGAAGAAGAAGCCAACAAAAAATTACATTTAGAAGTCTGGCATCGAGACAGGACTACAAGGTAATTCACCCTGTACAGTTTAAAATAAACGTTTTCTTTTGATTATACTCGGAATTATTCATTTCACTTAATATCCATCTGTTATTTCAACAAATACCATCTATAAAATATAATCATTTACGCGACATCGACCACAAAAAGGTTAAAACATCGTTAGAATATATAATTGCGCTTTCTTTCACTTAACTAATAAAAAGTGTAATAAAATTAGCGACCGTAAAGCCCTCAAAGTAAAGCTTAGTGGGTTACGCAAACTTATTTGACCTATAGGAGACGTTAAAACCGTGAAGCCGGCTCGGGGAGTATTGAGAACGACACAATGACGTTGTGGCGAAACCACAAAAGTTATTTCGGATGGAAGCGGAATTTTAATATGTATTATAAGTGAGTATATGCTACGTAATAAGAGGTTTTATGGTTTTGCTGTGGAATTAAAACATGGTCGAGAAAAGGGACGGCAACAAGGTAATAAAATTTTGATAAAGGGTCAGAAATTTTTTTTTTGACTAGAAATGGTTTTTGTTGACTAGATTTAACTTAATTAATTGATCCTTATATTTCTTTGGCTGCTACAATTTTGGCTTTTCTGCTACAATCTGTCAAGACTAGAAGTGACTATTAAAATGTTGTCCATCGGCGCAGAGAGCAGACAGAGAAAGTATTCGTAGAAATTGAGTTGAAGCACGCCAGAACTCGGCTACATGATTTTGATACGTAGTTTAGGGTCAGCTCAATGAGTGATTCATATACGTGATTTTGATACGTAGTTTAGGGTCAGCTCAATATTCAAGAAAGGGCATAAACGCAAATGCTCCAATTATAGAGGAATAACTGTTATCAGCTCAGTGGGGAGGTTGTACGGTCGAATAATAAAAGAAAGAATAGAATCAGAATACGAAGATATAGAAGAACAAAATGGATTTCGTGCAGGAAGATCGTGTACTGATGGTATATTAGTTCTGCAGCAGGTAATCGAAAAACGGAAGGCAAGGAATCTATCTACCCACCTATTGTTTGTAGATTTAGAGAAGGCATACGATACGGTACCTTTAAAAAAACTGTTTCAAATATTGACGAATACGTCTGAGTAGAGAGTATGTAGAAACTTTATATCTGAATCTTTTCCAATAATAAAGAAGCTTAAACAAGGCTTATATGTGGTCTATCTCCGACCTTACTTAAAATATATATTTAATCATCGGTAGAACAGTGCAATCTTTAATAAGAAAAGCCAGGGACAGAAATTATTTTGCTGAGGTTATCGCCAACCTTCATTGAAGACGGCAACCAAAGAAGAAGAAGAACAGTGCACATCTAGGACACATAATGCGCCATAAGAAATTTGAGCAACTCCAGGTAATATTAGAAGGCAAGATCGAGGGTAAAAGGGGTATAGGAAGAAAGAAGAAATCCTGGCTCCGAAACATCAGAGATTGGACTCACACAACAGGAAATGACCTAATCCATCAAGCCCAGAACAGAGAGAAATTTGCTAGATTGATCGCCAACCTCAATAGAGAAGGCACTTAGGAGGAGGAAAACAGTGAAGTAAACAAGTATCCGGAATGGGAATAGACATAGGCGGTGATAAATGTCTAAGAATTTTTTTTTGCAGATGATCAGGTAGTCCTAGCCAATGATGAGGAAGACATGGACTACATGTTTAGAAAACTAAAGAAAGAATGTGAAGAATGGGGTTTCAATATGAATATGTCAAAGACAGAGTATCTTAAAATAGGAGATGATGAAGAAGATCCAGAGTTAGAAATTAGAAACACAAGAACATGCAATGAATATAAATATCTCGGATCTATAAAAGAAGGCACTACCAAAAGAGACAACGAAAACATAACGCAGCATGGAAAAAAGCGGATAACATTCTAAACTTTCTACTATGGTTTAAAGATATTGAACAAAAAACGAATGTATCGAACCTTATTAGAGCCTATTATGACTTATGGGGCAGAAGTTTGGCAGATCCCGAAAAAAGATAGAAAAATAATAGAAGTAGTAGAAATGAATTTTTTAAGGACATATTCCAGTGTAGAAAGAATTGAAACGAGACAACTAGTGTGGTGTGGTCACGTGAAGCGAATTAATGAAGATAGATGGCCAAAAAATGCTTTAAATTACATAACACAACAAAAAAGAAGAAGGAGAAGGCCTTCAGTTGCCTGGGAAGAAAATGTATGACACATAATGAGATATAGAGCCACGAAAGAAGACGAATAGATGGACAGAAAATGATGGCGGTCGAAATGCGGGAGGCGGCAGAGGCTGCAGGAACCTCGCTTATATATATATATATATATATATATATATATATATATATATATATTATTATACTTCTTCTTCCACAAACGCGGAAGGAACAAAAATAATTAAGGAATCCATCGGAAGTAAGTTTTTAAGAAATCTGAAGACAAAATATGTATTAATTTTAAGATAGAAAGTTTGTATATTTGTAAATAGATAGATTAGTACCGAAATTTTATGACTTATAAAGAACTAAGCCATTCTAAACGAGTTATTGACAAACCATTTGTACATTATAGAAAATAAGCTGTTACCTGAAGGATTAGTCCGGTATTGTGTTGTATAAATCTTCTATTATGACTAAGGCAAAAATCTTTGAAATGTATAAAAATTATTTGTTTACAAGGAAATGACCATTGTTAAAAGATTAAAGTTCCTTGCTTGAAAACGGTAATTAGCATTCCAACAAGTGTGGTAAACAAATTTGGATTTTGTGATGAGACGATCTTTTTGGAAGGGGAAATCGACAGACCGAGGGTTGATAGAGTTTTTGTTGGTTCGAGAAGACAGTGATGTTTGAGTGATCGAAAAGAAAGGTTGCGTCTCGACAGGCGGTGTGTTCGTGAGTTGGAGGCCGGCATTGTTAAGTGGATAAAGTTACCAGTCTTGTTAGCAGAATTGTGGAAGAAGTAGATTGCAAGTCGATGTAAAGAAATCCTTGAATCTAAAGTGTGCAGTTTCTGGAATACGTGTTAAATAGTTGTGGCACCAGGTGCGAAAAGAGATCCTTGGGTCACGAAGAAGTTATATGAATGTTTGAAGAAGTGATTTTCGTGTGTTAAGTGTTGGAGAATTGAGTCAGGAGGTTAAATTAAGTCAGTTAAATTGGCTGAAGGAGCAGATACTGAAACAAGAAGCCGAGGCGCAAGGTGGAAGAACACATTGCTGTGGAAGGTGGACAATTCTTTGTATGGTCCTAAAACAATCCAGGGAAGAAAGGTCAGATATTTTCCTTTTTCAAGTTGAAAGGTGTGTAAATCTTAAATGCGATTTGTTTACCTCATTGTTGTTACCAGTTTAAAGCATGATTAGACCTTTTTACGTTTATCAAATGTTTTAAAGTTTTGTTTCCATAATAAAATAGATTTTTTAAATATAAGGAAGATAAAAGTTTATAAAGGTATCCAAATTTAAATTAGTTTCAAATTGTTTTGTCTCAAGAAGAAAATAAGAATTAAAATTTTCTTTTTGTATTAATTTCATTACATGCATATTCGCTGATTGAAAAGATAACGGCAAATTTAATAATTGTTTTTTTTATAAAATAAAAAAATATCTGTATTTTATGTATTATACTTTTTATTATTATCCTTTGTTTTTCCTATCCCGATAAATACAACTAGAAAACTTTGAACTCACTGAACATAAGAAATATCAGAAGTTTATTTTTTTAGGACATTGATAACGAGAAAGTATATTTTTGTGATTGTTTCAAGTAAATAAATTAAAATCAAAAATACAAAATCATAACAACTGTCGCCCAAACGTGTGAAGCTTAGAAAGTATTTCTAGTTGGAATTTAAAAGGATAGGGAAAGAAAGCAGGTTGATTGAGAATTTATTTCCGATGGTCAAAGTTTATAATAACTGCATTTTATGACATAACATTTCAAATTTCTCTAGGTACAAGTTTTGCATGATATATTTTATTATATTTGATTGATTTTTACAATTGACAAAAGTTTTAAATTTTATTGCATTTATTTAAATTTATTGCATTTGGGATAAGAGAAAAATTTTTTCGTCTTTGCAACATTACTCGAATTTCATATTTGGCGGGGATATTATTGCACAAATTTAAGAGTTTCATATCAGGCGGGGATAAATTTGAACTACATGTCGATCACGAGAAGCAAAAGCAAAGAAAACAAAAAACAAGAAGAACATATAGAACAAGAAGACATTTTTGAAACAACAATCATGGCATCAGAACAACAGGAATTGTCAGGAATAGAGAAAATGTTACAAATAATGATGCAAAAAATGGATAAAGTGGATAAAACAATGGAACAGAATCAAAGAGAAACTCACAAGAGAATGGAAGAAAATCAACGTGAAACGAAACAAGCAATAGAAAAAAACCGACAGGAAACACAACAAGTGATAAAAGAAGTTAAAAGTTGCTTAGAGAATGTTAAAAAAGAAATGGCAGAACAAGAGGTGGAAATTAAAAAAATGAAAAACAAAATGGAAAAGGAATTAGAAGAGTTAGAAACAAAGTTTGAAAACGCTCTGCAAGAAGATAAGGAAGAAATAGAAATAAGAGTGAAACGGAATGAAAATTTAATTAAGGAAATAAGACACCAAAATAGAGTCGGAGAAACAAGAGAAATAGTTATCCAGAATTCCGGCGAAATAAAAATACAGTTTGGCGGGGATGTAAGAAAACTACACCCCGTACCGTTCATGAATAATCTAAAGAAGAAGATACAATACATGGGAAATTTTGAGACAGCTAAGGAAGTTATCAGAAATCATCTCAAAGATGAGGCAAGTCTATGGTTTGACAGCAAAGTGGAGGAATTTGAAAATTGGCAAGAATTTGAAAACAAATTTCTGAGTTTTTTCTGGGGAAAGACAGAGCAATTACAGATAAATAAGGAATTGCAAAATGGGAAATACCATGAGAAGATGGGTATATCAGAAAAAACATACGCATTGCAAATGTACAATAACGCAAAACAT